ATGCTCTTTTCACTGACGGTTCCTGTCGCCTGTCTTTCAAACCAAGACAAAATGGTTATTGTGTATTAAAATGCCAGGTTAATTTCTGTGGCAATAAACAGCACAGGCCGTCCCAGTGGTGTACGTCAATGTAGAATTTGTTGTAGAGGTTTGAAGTAAAACTTGTGTAGGAGAATAATTACATGCACGGAACTCTGCTGGAGAGAGCACTGTCAAGTGAAAGTAAAATTTGACATTATTTCCTTCAATTAAAGTGCTGTCTATTTAAAAAATGTGGTAGGTTACTGTCTCTCTGAATGTGCTCAGAAGAGTATATTAACGGTCTTTGTCTTGCTGTAGTTCTCTGTGGAAGAGACTAGATTAGACTGATTAGAATGTAGTTAAAATTTTTCTTTGGATCCATGGGTTCCATTGAATATCACCTGACTGGATAGAATTCTTGTAGGTGATGCTAATTATTTTGGTCCAGCTCTGTTCTTAAATAACCATGCTTACAAACCACTGTGTGGGAGAAGTCGTGGTCTAATTGAAGTAACAAAGACAGTTCTTCCCTTAAGAAGGAAGTTTCTTTTGCAAAGTATAACCAAACTGCATGTAAATAGAATAATTAATTTGTAATTAATCCATTCATTACAGACTATTGATCCTCCGTCTGTTGCTTTAGTGACTTTGGGTTCCTCTAAAGATATGCTATTTGAAGGAGGACCTAGACCATGGGTACAAGAACCTTCAAAGTTCTTCAGGAACCTCACCGCTGAGGATGCAGAAAGTATTGATCTCTCTTTATTTGTAACTCCTACATCTCGAAATAGCATCCAGCATTGGGTTAGAGTGTCTTGTAAAAGCCTGGGAGAGCAAGTAAGTGCCAGAAGGGATATGTATTGCCCTCTGTCAAACACTGAGCTAAGGCAACTGAGAACAGGCATCAGACAGATTTATGATACTATATACCTTTTACATAACAAGTAGTTTTTATAATAAGCCGGTAAAGAGCTTGGCTTGGTATATTGTTGATGCATTGTGATGCTGATACAGGTTTAAGAGTGAGCATTTTATTGCATTATGTTATAAATTGGTTTATGATGGGTTTATTGCAGTTTAAAGACAAGTGGCAGAAACCTGATGTTGTATAATTTATTAAACAGATCTTAGTAATGGCAGCTTCAGCTTGCATTAATAGGATCATAGCAGAAGGTTACTGCAGTAAACTGACTCTTCTGTCTGACCTGTTAATCTTAAACAGGTTACCTTTCAGTGTTTGTTCAAACAAATGTACCTTTTTTCTGTTTGTTCAAACAAATGACAGCCATATGAATTTACTGCTCTGATAGTCATGCAGTCTTTGTGATAGTGGCTGTAGTCATTTTCCACCGGATCTTGTTTTCTCCTCAGAGAACTTGATCTTGTTTTCTCCAACATGCAGAAATGATTTATCTTGCTTTACTCCGCCTGTCCAGTCTATAAAGCATTTAGCTTTTATTTAATATTTTTCTCCTGTAATTCTGCAAGGCCTTAGCGTTTTGGTGTGGCTGCCAAATTGTTTAACTGATTTCCTCAGTGGACACTGTGCGAAGTAGAGCTATTTCTGTAAGTGCCAATTCAGAAAGGAAGAACGTTGTTGTTGTTGTTGTTCCCTATGACTATGCATGCATTGGCTGGCTGTCCTTGCTGTTGTCCGGAACAGATCACATCTGCATGGCTCTGGCAAACGTCAGTGCATGAGTGGATAAGGCAGGTAACCAGAGCTGCCTCAGCCTGCTGGGATAGCCTTCTCTGTGTTTATATCCACTTTGTTTTGCTGAGGGCTGGAAAAGGAATGTAGAATAAAACATGAGATGGTTTTAAACACACTAAAGTGACTATAAATATTGTCTCAGGGCTGTTCTGTTCTCACTCTGCAAGAAAAAACACCTGCCTGTTAGCTTTTCAAGTTACAAGAGATTTGTTGTTTGAATCAAGTTTGATAGTAATAAAGATGAATAGCTAGGAAAAGTTCCCAGGAATAGTGCTTTGATAGTGCTATAAAATTGTTCTTCAAATAGGCACCTCCTTGTACATCTTCCTGTGCCTTAATGGTGCTGTAAATCCCCAAGAATCACATTTTTGCTTGTTCATTCTGACATCAGAGTGTAACTGAGACCTGTGAAATAGAATATGCCTGAACTCGGTAGTCCTTTCCTCTTTCCTCACTTGCCTATTTTCGTAATTGTACAGGTTATTGCCTTAACAGTTGGAAATAACCCCACAGTCACCAACCCTTTTCCAGCAGTCGAACCTGCTGTTGTGAAGTTCATCTGTGCTGTCCCTTCCCGACTCACTTTGACTCCTGTTTATGGAAATTCTCAGCTTGATCTCTTGTGCCCTTTGCTGCAACAAAACAAGGAAGTGGTAAGCCTGAGAAGTGACAGGAAAAAAATGTGTTCTTATAACTTAAAAGTCAGTGTTTGGACCTCCGCATCTGACTTGCTACAAGAGTATCAATAACTCTAGTGTTTTGGGCAACACTTGTGTCGTTGGCTTCTTCTGCAGAGAGCAGTCTGAATGTGACTTTCCAACAGTGATCATTCCAACAGGTTTATAAAGGGTCCTACCAGAATATAGGAGTAGACGTAAAAGCATTTGGATTGTGGCATCTCACAAACGTGTCACTGTGAGGAAGCCTTTCTGACTTGTCTTGACATGAACTACTTTTTTATTTAAAAAAAAAAAAAAAAAAAAAAAAGAGGGAGGGGGGAAATGTTTCCAGCAGCTGTTTCTAAGGAAAGTAATTTTTCCCTATACCACTTCATGCTAATCTAACTATTCCGTTGAGTACATAGAGACATATTTTACTGTACACATGTTATTACATGAGTGTACATTTGTGTGTGTCTTATTAGTAAAGGGACAAACACTACTGACATGAAGATAGCCATGTAAGCATACACAGTGATTATTGTTCAGTGACATCAGATGTATTCAGCTTTGCATACCTGAGTCACAATAAATGAACAATGCGTATTTGTAGATTATCAAGCATAGAGAACATTCTTCTGTATCCCAATGACTGCCTTCACATGTTGTCTGCTGAGTAAACTGTGTGTTTTGTTGTGTTAATATTACCAGGCAAATATAAAAGTCATCTTACTTTCATAAAGCAGCAATATGTGTTGAGTTGATGAATCATTTTAAGTAACTTCTATGTAAAAACAAAATGAGATTTCTCCATATTAGAAGTCACTTCAGAGTTCATTGTTTTTCCAGCTCCCTTATGTGTCAGTTAGACTACATCAGTATCCTGCTATTGCTAATACATTTCACAAGATGAATGCTAGAATTTTGAGCTATGTCTTCTGACAAATAGCAGTATTTTCATTATTTGTTTGAAATCCAAAGACAATGTAGTTGAGCTGTGTGTTTCAATTTTTGTTTTAAGGTAATTCACTGGCTAAAAAAACCCCCACCCTTTCACGACCCCCCCAAAAACCCTTGCAGTTGAAGTACAGCTGAATGACTTTGCATTGATGTCTCATTTTAATGAACATTACTCATGTAATTAGTGTTATAAGAAATCTCATGGAACTCAGCATACATTTTTTTCTTTTCATGATTAAAAAATCCTCTTGCATCTGTACAGTTCAAAGCATTCATTCTTTTTCAGGTTCCGGTATCAAATTATCGCAATCCAGTATTGGATTTGGCTGCATATGATCAACAGGGCAGTAAATTTGATAACTTCAGTTCTCTTAGTGTTATCTGGGAATCAACAAAAACGTCCTTAGCTAATGTTGAGCCTGATATGTCAATGAAGCTGACTCTGAGAGAAGATGGAAGTGGTCAAAAGAAAATGCATGGTATGAATTAGTTTAAATGAGCATTTCATTGTTTGAAGAAGGTCAGGATTAAATCTATTTGGTAATGTCTGAGCTTGGTTAAAGAAATTACTGTAATCTGTAGTCAGTTTATACTCAAAATGCGTTTTCAGCGCGCAATTTAAAAAAAAAAGAAAAAAAACCAAATCCAATGCCTAGAACCTGCCTTGAGAGAGAAAAGAATGATAATGAAAGAGGTTTGCAGTGTACATTTCATCTTCTTCTTCCCCATAATCAGATTTATTTGACTTTTTGTTTGATTCTAGGCTTACAAACTGTTCTAGTTCATCATGAGTCTGGAACAACTGCCATCTCTGTAACTGCAACAGGATACCAACAATCCTATCTCAAGGCAGCTAAAGTGAAAATACCGGTACTCAGTACTCTGGTTTTCTATTGCCATTTTCCTATGATGCTGAATGTGTAATGTTCCTACATATTTATTTCCTCGGTGCGTAGTAATGTAAAAAATAAGGCAGCTCCATAGCTGATTCTGAAGACGGATTCATACCACAGTGCTTTTATGATATTCGTGGCTTTCTCTGCTTTCCTCTGCACTACATGCTGCTGTCCATATCAAATATATCCAGTTTCTTTTTATTTTTCTTTACCATCTGGGCAAGGGGATTACAAAGAATTGTTTCAGTTGATTTTGTTTCGATTTAGGTTTTTTTAATGAATTGGTGAATCTTTGTTGCTTGTCCTTCGCTAAAGCAACCGTGTGCTTAGTGCGGCTGTCACGGGGGAAAGCAAATGTATTATTTTCACTGCAAAACAGGGTAGAAAGGTTCTGCATGAGCAAATCAAAAGCTGGCTGATATCCTCATATGAACCATATGTAAAAGCTGGGCTCTGACTAGTACTCTCCTTTTTTCCCCCTTTGGTCTCACATTGATCTTACAGAAGGGAGAGACTACTTGTTTGTACAGTGCCAGACATAAGCCTAGGCTCTAATTTTTACAAATCATTAGCTGCTCCCTGAAATACTTCAGTTTGTAGGTACTCATCAAAGGGAAGAACAAGAGCAAAAAGTAGTGATGATGAACAAAGAAGGCAGATGTAAACATGTCAATTTTCTGTTTGTGTCACTTTTTTTTAACTGCATATAAAGCCTATGGAACAACCTGACATGCCCAGTAACTAACTCAAAATATCCTGCTTCGCTCAGCTGAAATTCTGTTTCATTTTGTTAAGCAAGATTTCAGTAGGTTTTGTCTATATGCGGTTCTGAATTATGTACCATGAAAATAGAGTTGAGACAGAGAGTAAAATACGGAGCTAGGTGTTGCACAGTATTTTTGCTTCAAAGCAGGTAACAGGTGGGCACTAGTAATGTGAAACATTCTGTGGCCTGGATTTCTGTCAGTGTGTCCAAGGTTTGGTATCTGAATGGTAAGTTTCTTTGGAGGATGATCTGTATTGCCAGTTGGTTCTTGTCTTTCCAGTGAGGTTTCCAACCCGCTCTTGTTGGGAAGCATGGTATAGATGCATTTCCGCTGAAGAATTTGACTATAACTTAGTCAAAATTACTAGATTAGAGACACAGTGACTTTGCCACCTAAGATACTTGGTTCTGTATCTTTTTGTCTTAAGAAAACTGAGTTGTAAGAAGAACACTTGGTGTTCTGCAATCATTTTGTAATTCACTGTGCTCTGCTTTACTAAACCCATATTCAATATTCTTTCTTAGATTTAGAGATAATTAGTGAAAAAAAGTGAATTCTCTAAACTTTGCTTTGAGTTCAGAGAAGTTTATTGTATTTCAGTGTGGGATACATACATGTTAAATGGCACTAGAGTTCTCTTGAGTCTAGTCTCTGTGTTTAAGTTCTGGAGGAATCTTTTTGATAGTTGAAGAGTTGTGGATACCACTTCTGCTACAGTTATGTAGGCTCGTGCGTTGTTTCTTTAAATTAGCTAATTTGTCTGCTTATTGTCAAATACATTAGAAATGGACTGCTGTATTCTGCTTTCAAACCTGTTTATACTTACGCTTCTTTCTTAGAGACAAAAATGCAAATAAAAATCTAATAGATGGTATATTAAGATGTCTTGATCATTGCTCCAAGTGGAGCAGCCTGTTGTGCCATTAGGGGAAGATGGCATCCTTTCTACATCAAGGAAATAATTCTACTAATTAGGTGAAATGGGTACATAATACTAACTTCCTCTAACAAACATTGTCCCTGTCTAAACTAATGTTATTATGAGTGAATGATTCAGCTTGCATCTGGTCCAGTGTTTATGTACTTACATTTAAGGAAGAATTTCTTTTGGTGGCCTGCTAGGAAGAACCCTAAAAAGATGAGCTGGAGGTAGAAGAAAACATTCTGTCTCTGTGCTTTATCATTTTGTATGAACTTATAACATGCCTCTGAGTTAATATCCTATCTGTATGTCAGACTTGGTTAACTGATCCCGCTACATCTTTAATGCGTAGGCCTTCGTTCTTTGTCTTGGTTAGAGATGTGGAATACAACAGCATGTCCTGTGTATGACCTTACCTGTAGAAGAGAGCTGGCAGCTGAGCCTGTTACTAGATCTTGTGGACATTCCATGAACCTAAACTTCTCCAGCTCTGGCTCTTTGTTCATCTCCTTTAAGCATCTTTCCCTGCATATATGAGAGACTCGCACTGTTTTCTGACTCTCGGTGTTTGCAATAACAGCTAGAATTATTGTTTCTTTCAGCATGAACCTCTTCTACCAATGTCTGCCACTATTGACCTGATACTAGTGGAAGATGTAAAAGTGAGCCCTACTGATATCTCCATTTATAATCACCCTGACATACAGGTAAGGAATTACTCTGCTACTTTCTAACTGCAGGGAGGAAAACATCAAAAATTATATGGTATGTGTAAGGAGACCAGTTTTAGCAATGAACTAGAAAGATACAATTTAATTTTGGATGCTTTTCTGGTTTTGCAGGCAGAAATTTTCATCAAAGAAGGCTCTGGATATTTTTTTGTTAATACCAGTGTTGCAAATGTTGTAAGAGTGTTTCATGAGGAAACTCAGGGTATTGCTTTGGTGAGTGATGTATTTTGTTATTTTATGCCTTTTTGGCGATCTGAATATCATTCTGCAGTTTCATCACTAATGATTGTTTTCCAGTACATATAGAGAGGCAATAGCTGAATCATGGATATGCTTGCCTGTCACAGTCAAGCTTCAGGCAGGGATCTTTGCGCTAGCAATTTCAGGTACAGTTTCAGTTGTAGGAAATTGTTTCACTACAGTTGTGATGAATCATATACTCTGTACAAGACAAAAGCAAGTAGCAAGTTGTTCTTTATCCATTACATTTTACAGTAAAATGTTCCTGATTTCATAAACACAAAATGAAAAATAATCTGACGGAATTATTCAGAAGTATTATATAAAAGTTTAATTGGCTTCTAGAATAATAGGGGAACATTAGTTGTAGGCCAGTACTTCTGAAACCTTCAAATTCTTCCAGTGCTATGTCAGGATACTTTTCTATCACGGTGTTTCATCCTGATTTTGTGAATAAATATCTATTAAAGAGTTGATTTCTGATCTCCATAGCAAGTTTTTAATGCACTATCCCCCTAGAAGATACAACTAAACTACAGTTATGCTTAACTTCATCCAGGCCCAGGATATGAGTGAATGACAATAAAACTATCTATTTGCATTCTAGCTTTCATTAGACAAGCACTGGAAGTGACACAAGTTGTTTTAAAGAGTAGTCTTTACAAATGTATAATTTAGAGATTTATCTTGTAATAAATAACATTGATAATGTTGTGAAATGATGATAAAGGTGGATTTTTTTGTTGTTGTTTTTGAGAATATGGAAGGTGTTGGTGAAATACTTCAATAGTCTCTGACTGTTGAAGTGTAAGGTGGGCATATTTTTCCAACAGAGTCAGCTAGGCACAGAGGTGCGGAAAAATAGAAGAGATTAGCTTATTTTTGTACATTGTATACTGTTTCAACTCTTCATAGTTTTTCAGTCAGGTCTCCTGCATGGGTTTAGCAGTGCTTTAACTGATGTACACAAGATAATTTCAGAATAGAACAGTGAACTTGAGTAGTGGAACAGTGCCAGCAAGATAGGCTTTGTGAAGTACAAAAAGAGAGTTATTTTAACCACCTGTCAGATTAGAGGAGAGAAAATTTTTAACACATTTAAAATCCATTTTTAACTGCACACACACACACCCCACCTGCCCCAACCCCCCACATTTTAAAAGTTTTTATAGTCCTGTGTGTTACGTTTGAGTTAAATCCCGGTATCACCTATGGATTTTTCTTTCTGTGGAAGCCAGCAGAATGATCTGTGTAGAAAATCACCAAGTTCCAGTCTGCTGGGCCAGGCTGATGCCATGGCAGGTGTCAGTTCGAGCCAAGTTGTTACAGAATGGTTTGATAGTAAACTATCCTGAGAAACTAAATTCAAGTTGTCTAGAGCAGTGATTCTCGGATTCTTTACTGGGGCTGCCAAGGATAAGTTTTATACTTCTTAGTCTCTCTTTGACACGGCAGTTTTTCTGGACGTGAGTGGGTGGCATGGGGGAAGAATGAATAGTGGCAAACAGTAAAATATGCTGTATGCTGGGGAGCCACTGGGCACCCACAGGAGATGAGAAAGGAGACCTAGCTGGGACAGGAACAGTTTTAGTAAGATATAGTGGCACTGCTTTCAGTTGCAGCCCTCTGCTCTGGTAGCTGCCTTTCTCTAGTCTTCTAGCCCAAACTGGGCTCCATTACATCTTTCTCCTCATGATCATGCTGGCTGCCGCCTCCTGGCCACATCCTCTTCTTTGCTCTCCATGGCTTGTCCCCAGCACTTGTAGTAGCCACCCACTTTAGGAACTACTGCTGTTCTGAAAGCTGACATTAAAACTTCATATTCCTTTCTATTTTGAGGCACAAGTGAGAGTGATGCCCTCAAAGAACAAAATGTTAGCTCTTCCCACTCTCTTACTGCTATCTCCCATAGCGTTGCCAAGTAGTGCTATTAATTATATTAAATTCCTTTGAACTGGGGGGCCTGGTTTCAGAGTTCATCTTCTTAAGCCAGATGAGTGCATAGAATAGGTCACCGAACATCTGCGCTGTCTCTGGCTGAATTGAAGGTGCCTGTGAAGGTGAAGAGAATAGCTGGGATCATCCCTGAGGTGTGTGGCAAGGTCAGGCAAATTGCAAGAGAACTGCAACGATGGTGTGAGCAAGGTGTGGCTGCACGGCCTTGAGAAAGCGTGTGGAGACAGCTTTGGGATTGGTACCTAGTTCTGAGGGCTTGTATTTTGAGCAGAGGTCTCTTTCTTCGTTGTTTGATTCTCACTGTATTCTGAGAAGAGCAACATGTATGTTCTTTGTATAAAGAATTAATAAAGTAGTAGTAATAGTTGTATCAAAGAAATACTTGATTTGTCAATCTTTCTCTTACTTGGGAAGATCTACCAGCGGATTTTGGCTATTCAGTCAGATTAAAAGCAATAACTGTAAAGTATGCATCTTGTAGAAAGGAATGTCAGCTTTATAAGCCTAGTCTCTGTCCTTGAATTTTTTTTTCCTTATTTTGTTTTCCACTCCACTAAGAAAAGTTTCATTGCTCTGAATGATTTGTGGTGGGGTTTTTGTCCTTCTGATGGCAGAAGGAGAATAACAGGATGCCAGACTGCTTCTAGATTAAGATATGTTAATTCAATTGCTGCCTGGAAGCTGTTTGCACGGGCTCAATAGTAAGATACTTTTTACATACATTTTACACCTTTACTTTTACTTTGGTGGAAGAATTATCTGCGTCTAAAGCTTGGAGCCTTCTGCATTGATCTGTGTCTGCCCTGGAAGTGCCATAAACTTTATCCAATGACACACAAATGAAAATGAGAAGTGCTATAGTAGAATTTTCTTTTGGCATTGCAGGTGCATCCTCTGCTTCCAGGATCGGTGACTGTAATGATTCATGACTTGTGTTTGGCTTTCCCTGCACCGGCTAAAGCTGAAATTTACGTATCTGATATACAGGAACTGTATGTCCGAGTTGTTGACAAGGTTAGTGGCTTTGAAACCAGCATTATTAGCTGACCCAGATTGCCCTGATTACTTGTGCTGATCATGAGCAGAAGGGCGAGACGTGTACAAGAAGATACGACATAGTGGTTAGCGCCCTCCGCTGCAGCTGTACGACCTTAGAGAAATAATTTGATCTCCCTGTGTTTCTGTTTCTCTCCCAGATTTATCCTTTTAGGTTGTGAATCTTTCAGAGTATCAAGTGTCTCTTATTTCATGATCTGTGTGGCAGCAATTTCAACTTTTGCATTTACACAGCAACGTTAATTCATAATTTATATGAACACACTAATTTGCATTTCCTGTTGTTTAAAGTGCATAAGAGCAGTTCTTTTAGGAGTAGGTTTTGCCCCAAGGTCACTATCCATGTGTCATGTTTTAAAAATGAACAAAAAGGAAGTCCAACTCATTTTACTTGCCAGCTTGGTTGCATCTTACACAAAATAAGTGTTGATGTTTCTGGATGTTTTAATTACGCCCTTGCCAGCTGAAAGACCTGAATTCATGTATTTAATTTGATGCTAACCATAGCTGGCAGGAATTATTCTTTAAAATCAGTGCTAATCTAACCTTAGGGCTTATTCTCTAATACCCTACTAAAAGTGTAATACAAAATAAAATGAAAACTATTAGTTTATGCTAATAAATAAGAATAGTTTAAATGAAAAATGACTGGATGTGACTGTGTTTCAGGTGGAGATTGGAAAAACAGTTAAAGCTTATGTCAGAGTTCTGGATGACTCTAAGAAACCTTTTCTGGCAAAATACTTTGCTGTCATGGATCTAAAACTAAGGCCAGCATCTCAGATTGTTTCACTTGTGTAAGTTAGTGGGGTTTTTTTTATTAAACTGCAAGTATGTTTATAGGCAGAATAAGCAAAAAATGAGTAAAGGTATTGGCTTGGAGGCATGGTAGTATACAATGACTGAGGTTTTATTTATTTCATCTTTGTAAAGTTTTAATTACCTGTTAAATGGTAGAAAATGGCTATTTGTCAGGAGAATTGCCTAAGCTAACCATCTAAATCTTGTTGACTGATGAACGAGACTGTATTCATACGCTGTAATATTTCATGGAGCCTTATGCGTCTTGGAAGCAGTGAGTTGACAAATAATGTCAAGTGAAGAACTCTCTGAAGACATACCTGATGCTGTCAAACTCTTCCTGTCTGTGACTTAACTTTTTAGAAACAGGTAGGCTAGATGATTCTATTGCCTCAAAGCCCCGTATTTTCCAAACACTAAACACAATGATAAAAATCACAGGAAAAAAAAAAGGTTTTGGACTGTTGATTTTTAGTGTTGAGGTAATGAGCAAAAATCATTCTGCTTTGTATGGCGAAGTGTGGGTGCATACACCATACAGTGCTGCTTGGCTGTGTCTATCCCACTCCATTCAATAGCGTCAAGGTATGTACTCAGTCATGCCACTGGTGTCTATACTGGTCAAATTGTTAATGAGCTCCCTGGCAGAATTTTGGTCTGTGCCAACTAACTCTCTTGTTTCATTTTCAAGTTTTTTGTTTGAAGATAAAACATACGCTACAAAGAGCCATTTCATTATATTACATGTAGAAATGTGATGGAAACCTTAATTTCGCTTAAGACAATCACTTAGTTGTCCTTATGATAAAACTGCTATGCACTAAATAAGTCCTTTGCATTTGTTATTAGTATAATTTATTGAATGAACTTTCCTATTTTAATGTGTTTCTTTGCTACAGCCCACTTGGTGAAGCTCTTGATGACCATACTGCTGCTTTTCTAGTGCATGGGATGGCCATTGGTCAGACTAGTCTTATGGCAACTGTTGCTGACAAAAGAGGACGAAGAATCAACTCTGCTCCACAGCAGATTGAAGTAAATAATTTCAGATAAAATATATACATAAACACAATCTAGGTTATGATAGAACAGGAGCAGTATATTGTAGTTAATTTATAGCATAGTAATTAATTTCCAGAAAAAGTAACCAGATCATTCGGTCCAGGAGCTATCCAAATGCTGGTCTCAGATTTCAGTGTTTTTTAACTTGCAGTGATGAGTTAAGTTTCTGCATGCTCAATTTACTGTAATTAAGCAAGTGAAGACCCAGTTTTACACTTGAATGTACTGTTTTGTGACATGATTTATCTGACTGAAGTAGCGTGAACACAAGTATTCATATTTCTATTTTTAGGTCTTTCCCCCATTTAGACTACTGCCAAGGAAAGTGACCCTAATTATTGGGGCCATGATTCAGGTAAGGCATTTTCTTACGTATTTTCTTTCTTTTGTAATTTGTATTTTAAAATAAATGTTTATAACTTATTTTTCAGGAGTAGATATTCAACGTAGCAATTTAGCTACATTCACACTGAATATTCCTCCTAACAAGAATAGTTTCATTTTTGAGCCACCTTCCATTTTACTGTATTGCCAGATCAAAGGTTTTGTATATATTTGTGTCAAGAGAGTGTCAGCTTTTCCAGTGTTAAATACCACCACAGCATTGATAATCTGTCACCTCTGTGAAATTAAGTCTAGTGGCCTGGTTCTACAAACTAAAACACAGAACAGAGCTATACCAAGTGTGGTGAAAAAGTGAGATAAATCTTTCTGAAACTTTCTAGGCTGGATGTAGCGTCAGCCTATGACATTCTACAAAGCACGTAGCACACTTCCGTGCTCAGCTCATGTATTTCCCAGTCCAACATCATGCAAGGACAAGTGTGCAGGAGAAATAAGCCCTGAGGTGCCCTGGGAAGGTTCAGACAGCCTTTTCTTACTGAAGACATTGTGTGCTGAGCACGGAAGGGATGTAACATTAACCAGAACAAGTATCTGATAGGTTAATTTTAGTTGTTCTGTGTGCTGTTAATTATAGATCACTTCAGAAGGAGGCCTTCAGCCTCAATCCAACATAGTTTTCTCCATCAGCGATGAGAAGATTGCATCTGTGAACAGCACTGGACTTGTCAGAGGAGTGGCGATTGGGAATGGAGCAATAACAGGAGTGGTGCAAGCTGTTGATGCAGAGACAGGGAAGCTTGTTGTGGTGTCTCAGGTAAAGTTTTATTATACTGTTTGGGGCTGAAAGAAGCTCTCAACCCATGGATTTGACTCTGAAGGGGCAAATAGTCTTTTTGCATTAGTAGTGTTTTCTTGTGCCCTTCCCCTGTTGCAGTGTTTCTTACTCTCTTGCCTGTGAACTTAACATGTGCTGACACAGATGATGATTTCAACAGATAGCTAAATCTTGCTGTACCTTAAAACAAAGTTCTACTGATAACCTAGGGAGACTTTATGAACGGTCTGGTATCTTTAGAATTTATTAGTAAATCTAGAAAAGCCCATCTAAAGAAGCGTTTTTAAAACAACGGAAGGTTTTCCTGTAAAGCCTGCATCACTTTACAGTTTATCAGCATCTTATGTCAGTAGAAGTCAGAAGGTAACTGTTGCCTAAGAAACACATTGTCTCTTAAGCTATAGGCAGGCTGTATAGAAAGCTATCATCCCGTGCTGTGGTCTGAATCCATCTATGAAGTTCAAGCAATGAATCCTTGATATTCCATCAGAATCTGTGTCCGTATAATTTCCTGCTAGCCGAGTATGAGGGACCTGTTGAGCAGGCCTGTAAGGGAGCACAAGTCCCTGGGACTTGCGTGAGACTCAGAACAACAGAACTTGGGCTCTTCATTTGAGGTCAAGGCAGCACAGCTGGTGCACACAACAAAGCTCTGCTGCTTGAAAGATGTCACCACAGGCCAAGAGGAGATGAAGTAATTTACAAAATAATAAATTTTATATATATATATATATATATAATATGCTTTGTAATGTGGGGCAGCAGTCTGCCCTGATGCTGTGGCAGGAAACAGAATGAACTTGAAAGCTAAATGTACTGCCTAATGAGGTCCAGGTCTGACCTTTCCTTCCCAATATACAGTAGGAATAAAATCTATCAGCAGTGTCAGGATATGTGAAGAGGAGACATCAGAGTATGACACATATCATCCTTTTATTCTTGATTGTCCGTTTTGCTGCTTACCATTCTTATTTCTTTCTAATTCACAGAATCACAGAATGGTTTGGGTTGGAAGGGACCTTAAAGATCATCCAGTTCCAACCCCCTGCTGTGGGCAGGGCCACGTTCCACTAGACCAGGTTGCTCAAAGTCCCATCCAGCGTGGCCCAATTCTCTCAATGTCTTTCTTTTACCTTCTGGGTTTATTCATCCCTCTTCTCTTAGGGACCCCATTGATTAGTCCGTTGCTGTCTGTCACCTCCCAGCTCCATCATACATGTTGTTGGTAATTTTGAGCAGAGCTTTTTTTTTTTTATTTTTATTTATGTGGCATTCTTAAGTGCTTATCAATCAAAAGTTAATGCTTTTGTAGTTTTCTACAGTCCTACTGAGTTATGTCCATCTGTATTTTCTATGATGTCACATGCAAATCACGTGGCAATGGTGATTAGGTAATGGCAAAATAGTTGATAGATCCTAAAAGTGAAATCTAGTTCACGCTTGACAAGTGCTTACAATGTCTTCCCTTCATCCTTTTTAGGATAAAGTGGAAGTCGAAGTGGTACAGCTGACAGCTGTTAGAATTTGTGCACCAATTACACGAATGAAAACCGGTACACAGGTTAGTTGATTTGTGATTAGCTTTTATGGCCTTAAAATTATGACCTGTAAGGCTATGACCATTCTTATTAGATCATCTGATAATACCACTCCAGCTCTCAGAGTGGTCGACTGCTCTGGGGGGTGCCACTGCTGCTGCAGGAGTGAATGTGCTGTCAGTGGAGAAGCTCCAGAACCAAACATATTAAAACAGAAATCAGGACAAGTTTACCATGTACACCAGACTGATCTTCAGAAATTCAGGCCCTGCTGAAGAAGCATCATTTAATCCGGCAAAGGGTTCTCTCATCTGCATTCTATTTGCAGTGGAAACTTACTTTCTTTGTACGCTAGAAATCTACAGTATGTCTGCTATATCCAGAACAACAGATACTGTTCAAAGTCTATTTTTTAAAGAGTCTATATTTCCCTTATTAGTTATTCAATCCAAAATGACTAGTGATTCTAGCTCATTGGTCCCAGGTGAATGAATTGCTTTGAAAATTAAAAATAAAAACTTGAAAATTGCTGGTTTGTGTTTATATGTTTGGAGAGTTGGGAGGGGAAGGTTGGAGTCCAGAACAGAGTTAATCAGGGAGATCATCTAGACGAAGATGTAGAAAACGTAAGAATGTGTGAGTTAACTAAGATGAAGTGATTCGATGCTACAAATGGGACAAATGAATTGTTGAACTTATCTTTTCTGATGGAAAACTGGTACCTGTTTTTTGTAGAGCTCGTAGCAAATGAGAGTAAATCAAAATCTACATTTTACAAGTTGGTGGTGGAGTCTTCTGCGGGATACCTCCTTGCAACATATACCACAGCCAAGCTGTTTTCTTCATTAGAAATACCATCTCTTGATCAATGAATTTTAATTATATTTGCTCTGCACAGGTTTGCTTAGCATCCTAGAATTACCTAAGAAAGTTGGTTTCTCTGTTTCTAGATGCCAGTTTACGTAATGGGCATCACCAATAGTCAGACTCCTTTTTCATTTGGCAATGCAGTACCAGGCCTAACGTTCCACTGGTCTGTCACAAAGAGGGATATTCTGGATATCAAGACAAGACACAGTGAGGTAAATTTTCTGTGTGTGCATATGTGTGCTTGCATGTATGTGTATCTTGGTAAAAGGAAACTGCCACGTAATGGGAATTGGGAAGATATTCTTGCTTCTCCTTACTGAAAATCAGAGCTATTGTCAGCTTTGGGTGTGGTCTTTCCTTTGTATTAATGTCAATTCTTTCCATGAGTGAAATTTTAATTGCTTTCTCCTGTCCAAGGCTTCTTTTCAGCTGGCTGCAAAATATAACTTTGCAATGGATGTTTATGGCAGAGTGAAGGGAAGAACAGGCCTGAAAGTTGTTGTGAAGGTCCTTGATCCTGCAGCCAACCAGTTTTACAATATGAGAACAGAACTGTCCGATGAAATCCAAATTCAGGTATAATAATGTTCTTCACAGTTAATGTTTTAATACCTATTTCAGAGCTGAATTAAAGTCTGTAGTTGAAGTCAGGAATTTGAAATGCAAAGGAGCAGTTCCAGCTTTGGTTGGGCTTTGAGCCCTTACTCTTGTTTGTGTAATGTTCTGCTGTTTGGAAACGTCCAAACTCCCCAGGTGTTGATTAGGTTTACACTGAACAGTCACACACTGGTGTGATGCCTGAATGAAATTCAGGAGTTAGTTTTTGTTGTAGATTGCCTGAAATTGAGTGACTTGTGTCTTGTGGATAAGCCATGTTAGATCTGTGAAATAACTTGGCTGTTGTAGTTGCCCTCTGCACAATAATACTTCTTGGCTTCAGTTGTTATCATACATGTCTGTGCAAGCGTGTTAATTTGGATCAGGAATTAGCTTCTAAAATGAATCCCCTGGTTGTTCTCCCTTACCATGCTTTTGGGAGCAGTTTCAAAGTATGTGAACTTGATTCCTTCGATGGAACAAAGCTGGAAAATGTGCTTGCGGAGTGCACCTCATGTGGGCATATTCCATTTGTGGGCTCAGACTGGGGTGGGTTAATGTAATGAGTGAATGTGGTGTCTCCAACACCATTTCACTTGACGAATTGCTGCTTTTTTCATACTGCTTCGTTTTATCGCTGTAGCCATAGAAATGAATGCTCTTCAGAATAATTTGTAGAAGATACTGCCTATCTCGTTGTCAAATATTCATGTTTAATTTTATTTTTTTTGCCATATATATATTATATGAGGTTAAAAAAATGTGTGTTAAGTTTTATTTGTTTTTTTGTTTAGTTTTGAAGGTGAAATAAATGGAAATAAATTATTTGCTGCCCACAACAGTAGGCTGAAATTACTTTTGTTTTCCAGGTGTTTGAAGAACTTCATCTAGTCACTCCAGAAGTAGAAGCAGAGCAGATCTTATTGTCACCAAATTCCTTTATTAAACTTCAGACAAACAGGTTAGTGATCAGTTTTTATAGTGTGATATGTGTCAACAGTTTATCAAAACTATAAAGCAATTCTGTTTGAAGTAAGCTGTTCCAGTCTTTTAGAAAGAATATCACGGTACATCCATATAATACACAACTTTTCAGGTGATTAATAGTATCTCATCTGTACTCTTCGGCTCTGTCAAATCTTGTATTAGATTGTAGCTAGAAAATTCATTCAATATTTGGAACTTTGAGCCAGTTTAAGCAGTAGCCTGCTTCCACTAGAGTTTTTTAGGGGTCATCAAGGCTTTATGGAATACAATTCTCTGTATTTCTTTCACAAAAGCTGTGACATGATTTTGAGATTAAAATGCCCTTTCCAAATGAGAAGTCCTTTTTACATAACCTGTTTTCAAAGACTGACATTTCAGACTCATTTCAGGCTTGAAATTTGGTTTCCCTAGCATAAGAATGTGCAGATATAGCCAACAGGAGTACGCTGAGGGCGAGGCTTTAGATGCATTTACTTTTTAAGGGGAGCTCCAGTGACCATGGCCATTCAGCATCTGCTTTTGAAACAATTATGTAGGAGCCCTGTCATTTGTAGGCAGTACTAATGTTTTGCTCTCTCTTCTGAGCAGTTTTTCTGATTAATTAGTCATTAAGTTTCTAGATACTGGTTTGTACATTTCTTTCTTCAATTATCTTCACTATCCAGTGTTGGAGCCCCTATGGCTGAACTCTAGCACTGAAAACGATTACACTATTGCCAAGAATAGGGCAAATAAAAAACAGCTTTAATGCTTTTTTCCTAGGATCAAGTAGAGTGTTTCTATCTCAGTGGAGGAGCTTGGGAGAAAAAAAATAATCATTTACACACCTTTTAGAAGACGTGATAAGTGATACTTAAAAGTAGCTAATGCCTCAGAATGCCCACTAATAACAGTTTATGTATTTACTCACTTTATTAATATGTAAATACCATGGTGAGAGTTATTCCAAAAATTAACCTTATCTACAAAACCATTTCCAGGAAACTGATGAGATCCACTTAATCAAGCTCCTGACTTTATCTCTAATACCAGCATCGGCCCTGGCAGACTAATCTCCCGCTACATATTTTTTACAGAAAATGATGTCAGAAGCTATGTGTTGTAGCCTCAGCCATTATTATTTGGAATCAAGTTTAAATGCAGGGCGGTTGATGGAAACTAGATCTCAAACTGTGCCTAAACCCAGATAAGGCTTCTTCCAAGTGAGCTTTAATCAGAACTTAAACTTTTCTTTCTTAGACTAGAACACAGGCCTTTCAGCTTTTATCAGAGACACGTGGAAAAAACACATACCAAATTGCAGTCTTTTAGATTTGCGCAATGTATCGGTGTAAATATGGGTTTACTTACTTAAGGGGATCCCCAGTTTGTTTTTTTGTTTGTTTTCTTAAGGGACCAAGTGGCTTCACTGCATTACCGTGTCTTGGATGGACCAGATAAAGTTCCTGTTGTAAAAATCGATGAGAGAGGTTTCCTTAACTCTGGGTCTTTGATAGGATCATCAACAATTGAAGTGACTTCACAAGAATCATTTGGGATCAACCAGACCATTGTAGCTGCTGTTAAGGTAGTATCGTCTTTGTTTGCAGTGTTCTGTTAGAAGTATATCTTTACTACTGCCACAGAGATGGTTAACTGCACGTTTTGAACTTCGCTTCTGAAAAATGTGAAGTATAGGAATTAATAGTTCTGAGCTTTGAAAAAAAGTTTAGTGTACTAAACTGATGGATAAACATTAAATCCCAGCAAATTCTTAAATTTGGTACATTTTACAAAAAGCCCTTTGTGTGCGTGTGCCTTAAAAACTTTTTTAAAAAAAAAGTTTGTCCTAAAAAATCTCTTAGAGTGATGATAATTGCAGAATCTCAGAATGGCAGGGGTTGGAAGGGACCTCTGAAGATCATCTAGTCCAACCCCTCTGCTAGAGCAGGTTGCCCAGGACTGCGTCCAGGTGGATTTTGAGTATCTCCAGAGAAGGAGACTCCACAATTCCCCTGGGCAGCCTGTTCCAGTGCTCTGTCAGCCTCAGTAAAGAAGTTTTTCCTCATGTTCAGACAGAACTTCCTGTGCTCCAGTTTGTGCCCGTTGCCCCTTGTCCTGTCACTGGGCACCACTGAAAAGGGCCTGGCCCCTTCCTCTTGACACCCGCCCTTTAGATATTTATAAGCGTTGATAAGGTCCCCTCTCAGTCTTCTCTTCTCCAGGCTAAAGAGCCCCAGGTCTCTCAGCCTTTCCTCGTAGGAGAGATGCTCCAGTCCCCTCGTCATCTTCATGGCCCTCCACTGGACGCCCTCCAGTAGTTTCTTGTCTCTCTTGAACTGGGGTGCCCAGAACTGAACACAGCACTCCAGGTGTAGCCTTACCAGGGCAGAGTAGAGAGGGAGGAGAACCTCCATTGACCTGAATTACAGAAGTTCAAATAAAAAAAGATGTTAATGTCATAGACATGCATTTTTCAGTGTGTGAAAAAGGTAAATATCATCTGGAGAAATGAAGTACCTAAGTGATACCTAGATTTTCAAGATATTAGAGATGTAACTGTACAGTGCCCAAAAATTTAATTTTCTCTGCTGTTTCTCAGCAGTTCAGCTTTTATATATAACAAGAATCTCTGCATGGGAAAGCCTGTCTTATCAGATGCAATAATTCAGCTGCTCTTGCCTGTATTTGGTGAGTGGCAAGGAGCGTGTCCAAGGCTGCCCTGTGTGCCTAAGCTCCAATGAAATGTGGATGCTTCAGGGAAGGACGAATCTGTAGCAAAACCTAGCAGTTTGTTTCCAAGCTAATGAAGCCTCTCTCCTTCACAAAACTTCATCTGTTGATTGCATGCTGTTATCTGAAGTTTAATATGTCTTACTGGTTGGGCACATAGGACATGAGGGAACCTACGTCCTTCATTTCTGTTCAAAAGTCCTTGTGCCAAGAACTTTCTACATTAACAGCATGAGCCTCGAGATACCCACTGCTGCAGTTCCTCTTAGCCGTTTTTACTCTTTCCTATGTCCCAGCTAAAGACAACAGACGTATAATTGAGTGCTGACTTTAAATTATTTGTAAGTTTAATTGTTATAATCTCTGTGATGTGGCTTGATGGCTTTTTTTATTTTTCATTTGAATTTTGTTTTTTACCACAATGTTCAGCTTTTTCTGTAGGATGGCATGTAGGTCTGTCCTCTTGGGTGGAGAATGAAAAAAGAAATGGTGGCGTAGTTTAACTAATGCCACTCCTGCTGCTAGGTGGCGGCAGTGAATTTCTAAAGCTCTGTTATAGGTGACCTTGTTTCTTCCTTTCGCTGCTGGATCCAGCAAGTAAAAGACATCTAATGAGTTTGGGGTTGGCTCAGATGACATATAGTCAGCATACAGCAGTACCAAAGTTAAATTCCCCCTTTGTGCATTCTTTCCATACACAGTTAGGATATTGCAGAACTGAGGAGTCAGTGCACTATCATATTAAGCTTGTTAGCTCTTTGTAGTAGGAACCATCTCAGTTCAACATCTTGTGCAATTGATTTGTTCTCGTTTACTTATTAGGACTGTACTACTTTTATGGAAAGAGTATTTTTAACCTCACAGTAACCTCATGAGGTAATACAGTGCTTTTGTCTTCATTTTAGGGATGAAGATCCGAGAGAGAGTTTGAGTGCTTTTGCTGAAGGTCATGTAGAAAAACTTGTGACAGAGCAGGAGATGAGCTTGAATCTGTTGTGTCATTCTAAGGCAGAGTGCTCTCCTTCATGCTGTCCTTCGTTTCATAAGTTCTTGTTTTGTCTGTTTACAACTGTATACAATTAAGAACCAAAGTGCTGCAGCAGCATCACTTAACACTTAGACCTTCAACTTTGCTCAGAAGAAGACTGTCTTATATAAGCCAAGAAGGATGGTGGAAGTAAGGAGTGACAGTGTGTCTAGCATGGAAGCAAGCTAAGCACTCACCTGTACCAGCTGTACTGAACTCAATATGTTTTTTTTTAAATAAGTATAAATACAAAACCTGAGATACCTTAACAGTAAATAGCTGCTTTCATCAATATTAAATTTAGCAGTTGTCCCTTGTGGGACAGTTTCTGAGACTTTTAAGTAAAGCAAGCTTGAAAATCTGTTAGGGAAATGGCTTTTTTGTAAGCTCGTAGCCTCAGCTAGTTGTGCAGATGACTTTATGTGCTGATCTTTTAACTGATTGTATCAGCCTGTGGAGAAGACAGTTGTATATACTGATATTCTAGCCCCCTTTATTTTTTCCCAACTCACCGAAGATGCTATTTGCTTGAGGCCAAATTTGTGCTTTCCTTTTTAAGTTTTGACATGTATATTTTCAGATTGCAGAGTTTTACATTTTAGCTGAGCCTCTTAGGTCAGGAAAAGGGATTTTCCTACAAGATAAGCTTGAGGGCTTCTTTTAAAATAGTTTCCTTTATATGTTTGAGGGGTTTTGCTTTCTTTGTCCTTCCATTATTTATTTTCCAACAGCTGTAACAGAAAGGACAGATATAGTTGGTTTTGTTGAGTAATTTTGCTAGTTAACCTAGATAAGTTAATCAAGAATGGTAATAATACATTATTTAAAAAGCAGAACAAAAAAATGGTTGTGAAGTCTTTGTCTTCAGACAAACGTCCTTCATTGGAGTGTTGCCGCAAAAATGCGGGGGTGTGCACAGATGGATAACCTTAACAGACTTTTCTGAAGAATTTGGAGCAATTCCTGACTTCTGTCTTGGTTGAGGAAAGGAATTGAGGCAACAAAATGCAGCAGCTTGCTGACCAGTTAGGATTTGTCGGATGCCAGTTGTGACTGCTTTTGTCTGTTGCACTTCACTTGGATCAGCTTGTGCCTCAGAGGATGGCCTGGCTGCACTACCAGGGTGGGTTGCCCAGTGATATGTCAGAAGAACCACCCCAGCACACAACTCAGGAGCAGAGATGGTGGGCCTCCCACTGCTGGGAGCCCTCTTGTCAGACTGCTGCAGGCCTGTTGTGAGGGCAGCAGTTTGCAGTGTCTGTGATGCTGCTTGACAAGGATCACTAGGGAACAGCTTTGCAGCTATGCTCACCTCTCCTCCGGTGGGCAAACCTTTGCTCAAACACAGCCAAGGCTGCTGGAAACTACGTGTGTTGCCTTGGCTTTCTCACCTGGTGCAAGGCAACTGGGGAAACAGTGACTGTTTCATCCCTTTACTCTCATGTATGTTGCAAGTTATTTCTGTTCTAGTAGCTGGGGAATCAATTACACTGTTTATTTCAAAAATTACTGGGAGAGAAGTCCAGGGGCAACTTGTTCTCTTGCGTATCCAGGGAGTGTTAACAGTTTTAATTTATAGGATAATAATGTAGTCTCCGAAGTCTGTGATAAGTGTTTCTACATCATGATTGCTTGCTTCAATTACCAGTGCTATTAGAGAAAAATACTAAGAAATACCTGGTGGGAGGGTGTAAAGAAGACAGAGCCAGTCTTTTCTCAACAGTGCTCAGTGACAGGGCAAGAGGGAACGCACAAGAATTGGAATACATGAAATTCTGTCTGAACATAGGACAGCACTTCTTTACTGTGGTGGCTGTTGAACACCGGCACAGATTGCCCAGAGAGATTATGGAGTCTCCATCCTAGGAGATGCTTAAGACCTGCCTGCACATGGTCCTGGGCAACTGGCTCTAGATAACCCAGCTTGCACAGGCTGGACGAGATGATCTCAGAGGCCCCTTTCAGCCTCAGGTATTCCATGATTCTGTGAAATATAGGTACTGATAATAAAAGCTCCATGTCTCACTAGTGTCATATGGCTAAATATACAGCAACTGGCTCATAAAGGAAGGTTTGTTTATTTGCATAATAAGAACCCTTTTAGATGACTATTTTTATAGAAGTGTCAAAAAAAGCAATTTAATTTTGCATTTCACTGCTAATGTTTTTACAGGTCTACCCCATCTCATACCTAAGAATCTCCATGAGTCCTACACTGTGTACACAAAACAGAGAGGCATTATTGGCTCTACCCCTGGGTGTGACACTGACATTTACGGTCCACTTTCACGATAACTCTGGAGATACTTTTCATTCACATAATTCTGTGCTCAGCATTGCAACAAACAGGTAGGTATCTATCCCAGGAATTCATTACAGAGAATGAAAAAGGCCAAATACACAGAGCCCAGCCGAAGCAAGGGACAAGGATTATTCCAAAGATATGAAGTGAAGATAGAGCTTGGACTGGGAATAGCAAAGAAAGGACTTTATCTCTGGTCTTCAGAGGCACCGTAGCAGAAGGAGTTCCAGTTAGCATTCGATATTCTCTAGCAGGTGGAAAGTTGGCCAGCTAAGCATGATCTTCAGTGGGGCATGCTGGGGTACATTTGTGCTTTAAGTGGCTCTGGATCATCGGATTGCGTACATCAGTGGTCTATATAAACAATTGATCTTACTAGCATTTGCCTTGTCTCTCCTCTTTTCTCCTAGTGCTTTGTTACACTGACTCACTTAAGTCTTACATAAGATGGTGCACATTCTGGATCATGGTCTGTGTCTTCAGATATGCTTGTACAGCCTTTGCACAGCAGTGCCAAGCCTCAAAGGGTCTTTTGGTCTCTGCCTTAAAGAATAATAAATATTATAACCAGCCTTCTTTGGTCATTAGTAAACAATCACTAATTCCAGTACTGTAACATAGCTTGTTTTCTGCAGAGCACTTTGCAGTTACAACACAGTGATCGTGATTAAAAGCGGGGGGGGGGGGG